CTCTGCCTCCCGAGTGCTGGGATTAAAGGCGTGCGCCACCACCACCCGGCGAATCTATGTTATTTTAAATTGGCCATCAAAATCCATCACCCATCAGATTACCTTCAAAACAGTACATAGTTCTAAGAGTCTGTGAAAGAGCTTGTTTTCACTTAATTGACAAGAAACAGTATTAAGAACCTTTAAAATTTCAGACTGATGGAAAAATCAAGTTGACACTCTTTCCATTCCATAATATTTTTAAAATTTTTAATGATTAATTTAATATCTTTTTATATGGACTTTTGCTTGATTCAGAGGAAATCTTACCATTTATGTGGTGATTCTCTTAAAGCATCTTAGCAGGCTAATGTCTGTCCACTCATCCAAAGAGATTTCTTCTCAACCCTGTTTTCATACTTCTACTCTCTGTCAAGACGCCTTGCATGAGATAATGATGGGTCTCCCACCTGAACTGAGCTGCTTCTCAGTTCCTAGTAACATAAAGAACAGGAAGTGATATCACTAGAGTGTGTGTGTGGGGGGGGGACCAGCAGGCACTAGAGCTTTGCTCTGGACCCTGTCCTCACTGTCAAGTTGATGAACAACAGACCTAGTTTTTTACTTCCATGCTGTTACTGGGAACAAGCCAGTTATCCCACTATGAACTCACATCATGGCCTACAGTTTTCTACCCACAAATTCATCATCCCATCAAGAATCCCTCAAAGAAACAGGCTGTCTCTATGGTTACCAGTAGAGACCTTATCTGGAAGCTCCACTCTTCAGCCTCCTCACCTGCAAATACTTGGGTACAAGGAAGCACACAAAGTAACCAGGATACTTGTGCAGGTGCTGAGCACCAGCCTCTAGTATCTACATGCTAGATCTCACCTGATGCTGCCTAGGCTATCACTGTGTCTGAATCTCCACCATCCAGCCATATATTAGGTCAGTTCTTCATAACTAAGGTTGGAAGCTGGATGATGTGTGGTGGTATTGTGTTCCCCAAAATATTGTGCACGCTAATAAACTTATCTGGGGTCAGAGACAGAATAGCCCAATATTAAACATAGAGGATAGGCAGTGGTAGCACACGCCTTTAATCCTAGCATTCCAGAGGCAGAAATCCATGTGTTCAAGGATACAGCCAAGCATGGTGACTCACGCCTTTAATCCTAGGGAGTGGTGGTAGAAAGCAGAAAGGTATATAAGGCGTGAAGACCAGAAACTAGAAGCTTTTTATCTGTTTAAGCTTCAGGCTTTTGAGCAGCAGTTCAGCTGAGAGCCATTGGGATGAGGACACAGAAGCTTCCAGTCTGAGGAAATAGGATCAGCTGAGGAACTGTCGAGGTGAGGAAGCTGTGGCTTGTTCTGCTTCTCTGATCTTTCATCATTCACCACAATACCTGGATCCAGGTTTGTTTTTATTAATAAGTACCTTTAAGATTCATGCTACAATGATGGAACTTCAGGTTCATGACAGCTCCTTACTCTATGAAAATCCATCATGCCCATGTCAGTTTCCAACCTGTCAAAGAATTTGAGCAACATTTTTTTTTTGTGTGTGTCCTAGAGAATGTGACTTTGGGCTGATGTCACCATTGGGCTGATGAGAGAACATATACAGCCATGTCTGGTGAATCATTGTTTCCCAGCTCCAACATTCATCAAAAAGGAAGGCAATCCATTTTGTTAGGAGTAGGCACAGAGACACTACTTTATGCAATTTCTAACATTGAGATTTGTAAATGGAAGTTTTCCTCTGTCCCGTCTGACCTGCAGCAGCTTATAGAATAATCACTCAGAGGCTTAATATTAATTACAAACTTTTTGGTCTATGGCTCAGGCTTATTGCTAGCTAGCTATTACATCTTAAATTAACCCATTTCTATTCTATTACATCTTGCTCCTCTCAGCGGCTTGCAGTGTCTCCCTTGACTCTGCCTTCCTCCTCCCTGTATCTTTCCTTGGATTTCCTGCCTGGCTATAACCTGTCTTGCCATAGGCCAAAGCAGCTTCTTTATTAACCAGTGATAGCAACATATATTCACAGTGTACAGAAAGACCATCCCACAGCATAGATTCATCTTTATTCAAATAATAAATGATAGAAATAATAAAATAAGAGCACTGTCTGCTCTTATATTTAGACGACCTGGGTTCCATTTCCAGCACGTACATGGTAGTTCACAACTGACTGTAACTCCAATTCCAGGATATCTGATGCCCTTGTCTGGCCTCTGCATTCACTGTGTACACAAGACATACATGCAGGCAAAATAAAAATAAAACCTCAAAAAATAAAATAATAAAGTAGTTGTAAAATGTAACCATTATTGTATATATTTAAGACTGACAATGTATTTCATACACACCTATAAAATGATTTTCATAATTGACATGATTGTGCCATATCAGAAACATAGACAAACATTTGTGTCTTTACAGTGTCAGAATTTATTTAATAACAATAAATTCACAAGATATAGCAGTTTCAATGAAAGCAACTGTGAACTATTCCTGCTTTCCTTGGTAATCTTGGCTGACATGAAGGTTTTCTGTTTTGTTTTGTTTTGTTTTGTTTTGTTTTTTAAGAACTTATTCTCAAATCGCACATTACAAGACATTTTCCCAATTGGGGTTCCTCTTCCCAGATAACTAACTTGTGTAAAATTAACCAAAAACAAACAAACAAACAAAAAACCGAACAAACAAACAGTATTCACCCCACCCCATCCCCTGCAGGTTATCGAATGACTGCAGAGGATTAAAGAGGTAAGGCATTTCAAAGAGGTGTGAAAAGCCAGAGCTGGGAAATGTAAAGGAGTCTATAGGAATGATATAAAAGAACCAGCTGGAGAACTGTGTAGAGGAGCTGCTGGTATTGTAGGTCAGAGTTGATCTTTAGAGTTGAACCTAGCTCTATAAGTGAAGTGGCAGAACTGGAACCAGATGAAGAAATTGCCAGATGGAGGGATAGCAAGTCCAGATAGGTAGGTGATCCGTAGTTAGGCAGACAGCAATTGAGAGGTAGTATCAACATTGGAGACTGAACCAACCTAAAGTCCCTGGGTTGGTTAGTCTCTGCCTGTCAGTCCCGGCTCAGAAGATTGCGGAGCAGCCGGTCCTACACCACTGTGACGAGACCCTCCTGGGACGTGTCCACGGCTCGGAGTGCGGTAATATCCTCTCATCATCCGGTACCTTCGTCCAACCCTCAGCCCCCGGTTACTTCCGGGCTGCCAGTTGCCAGCCTTATCTATCCTGTCATCTTAGCCTGTGTTCCAGGCAGGGAGATCCGTGCGCACGCGCAGGCACTATACGGAAGGCTAGGCGTGCAGACAGCACGCTATTGGCGGGATGAGGAAGGCGTATCTGCATTGACCAATGGCATGTGCGAGGCTACCCACCGCAGTGCCTTCTGGGAACATGCCAATGACCGCTTCGATTGGGCATCTGCGGCCGCGGAAGCTCCAGACAGTAAGAACCTACAAGTTGAAGCTGGAGCAATGCTGCTTTTCTGTCCGAGCTGTGGAAACGGACTGATTGTGGAGGAGGGACAGCGTTGTCATCGCTTCGCCTGCAACACTTGCCCCTACGTGCATAATATCACACGCAAGGTGAGTTCCAGGGGCGAGTGTCTCCTCCGCTGTCCGGGAGGCACGGAGCCAGCGGCCGCGCGCTCAGTCTTTCCTGCCGGCGGTATGTTTTTGTTTTTGTTTTTTGCACTCGCTGCGGAGGTACCCCTAGTTCAGCAGTTGCTAATACAGTGGCGTCGCTCCGGCCAAATCCAAGCCATTGTTTTGGTCATGACAGAGATTTCTGCCTCTGCCTCTTTGCTGCCCGTTTTGTGACACTCAAAAAAGTTGCAAGAATTTCCATTCATACCTCTAGGGTGAACCACGCTTTTAAAACCTACAGTCCCCTCATACTGTCTCAGGCGTGCCAGGCTCCAGTCCGCTTGTCACCTTCTCTGATCTCAAATCTTCAATGTTCTTTTTGTAGCTCTTTTTGCTCTCAGAACTTGTCGCTATTCTGGAGGACCTTCACCGTGCATGCAGGACAGTTAGGTCCTTCACGTTCCTTTCGCCCGAGTCTTTCTTTCCTGAGTAACTACTCATTTGGCGCTCGCGCTCGCTCTCTCTCTCTCTCTCTCTCTCTCTCTCTCTCTCTCTCT